GCAAACATCAAGCAGCAGCTTTTTTGGGGTGGGGGCAGAGGAGGAGATTTAGATGTGGTTTCGGTTTTTTTCCTGGAAGGTGATGAGTTCTTTTGTGAAAGGACGAAGTGCAATCACAAGAATATCTCAAGACCACAGTCAGGAAGATTGTGACTACTTCTGTATTTAAAGCATATGAATATCTACTTTTCTGTATGTTTTTTATCACTTCGTTAATGTGGAAATCCAGCACGCAATAGCCCACTTTTTTAAATCACTGATGTCAAATATACTCTCTGACGAAATGGAAGTATTTGCTTTAGGACTATACTTATCCCCTTCACCCTTTTTGGGTCTTCACCTGTTGTCTACTCATTCAGAAAAAGAAATACGAAATAAAACATGTCATCTCTGGAATGCAGCATAAGTTTACGATAAAAATAAAGATCATATTATAGCCAGTCCATTCACATCAAAGAGCATCCTATAAACTTTAATTGCATTTTTTTTTATGTCAGACCCTGCCCATTAAATGCATCTGTCTACACTTTCATAAATGAGACTCATAAAAAGCCATTGCGCAGAAATGTTATTGCTGAAAGTTATGATTTATGACATGTTATTACTTCAATATATTCCATTTAGCATTATGAATACCATCTACACCTCATGAGTTGATAATGTGGCACCAATCACCAGCCTTAGGAACTGCTATCATATGGAAAAAACAACATTAGAAAATTTGGATTCCCACATACAACAGTAGCTTTGGCACTGAACCTTGTGCCATGTGTAAACTAAGGCTGACATTTATTTCGGGATGAAGGAGGATCTCTGGGGTGAAACAAAGAATGAACTAAATTAAGCTGTCATTTACACCCTCCACAACCTCACTGAAGTCCACTGGATTTCACACATTGTAATTCAGCACTAAATTTAGCCCAAAGCAGACATACACACCTACATTTTTAGCACTATTTTGAGACATTCAAAAAAGTTTCACTCTTTTACTCCCAGAATGCTTGGATTACTCATCCCATATTTAGAAATGCCTCTGTCTAGGAGGAACAGTAGTTTTCCTTGCTATTTCTGATGAGGCAAAAGCCAACAAATGCTAGTTGCTGGGTTTTTGTGGGTTTGTTTTTGATTTTTTTTCTCTTTTTTTTTTTTTTAAACTTATATGCACCAGTTCTGATACTAATGGCTTTGAATGAAAGGCCACAGAATCAGTAAAATGTGCCAGACTCATCTGGGAGAGGCACCTCTACTCACTAAAAAAATAACCAAACGCCCCATAGTTAATGCTTTCTGTTCTGTGTATACATATTACCTGTAAACACAATCACATATAAATTAAGGACAAATAGGTAATTTAGTTTAGGTACCAATATGCTAATAATGAGAAAAATTTACATGAAAGTACAGCTTTTACAAAGTTCTCTTAGAGGAGAATCACATTAATATCCCTAAGCTACCTAGAAGAGATACTGAATTTATGAAGACACAAACATATTTCAAGCTTAACCGACTTCAATCTGCGCTACAGGCTTCTTGCACTACAGCATTTCAAAGTGAGCATCTACCACACCTAAGTTTAAAGGAAACACTGAAGGAAAAATTAAGAGAACTCTTCAGAAACCATGACCCAAATCTGGACCACATCGCAAAGCAAGCTGCTGAAACTGTGGTAGGTGCATAGATGTTTCCATAAGCTTTGTCACAACAACAAAGCATCAAGAACATACATAACGTTGTTCTTCCATTTGTTCTTGTGGGAGAAGGAAAGAGATCCGTAAAAAAAAAAAGATAATCTATAAAAACTACTTGAACAGAGTATACTATACTCATTGATCAAAGAATGGAAAACAGCATATCTGTTTCTGTACAGTTTGTACAGTCACATAATATTTCTGCCACAGAGAATTTAACTGGTAATCCAACCAACTCGCACTGAAGTCAAGAGAAAGGCTATTTTACTTTGAACAGGTGCTCAGTTTTTTCATATTAAAATATGCAACTTCAGCAGGTGCTGATATCAGGTTTAAAACAGAAATTAACTTTTTTGTTAATGCTATTTCATAAAGTTTGTTTCCCTGTTATACGAGCTCATGGCAAACTGATGAGAACAGATATTACAACTCGGACTGCTAAAAGGTTCTATTTATTTATAACTACTTGTGTAAGTACTTCCTGAAGCAAGCTGAATTTTTTTCAATTTCAGATTTTCTTCTATTTTTCATTGTCACTATTAAGATGAAAGATGAGCAGCTTGATTTTATTCAATTTGAAGTTTAAGCACATCAATTAAGCCCTGCAGTAAAATGACTAATCAGACAGACAAAAATAATTACAACTCAAATCCAAACACAAACCGCCTAGGTTAGAAGTTGCACTTTGCGCTGAACCTCAGGGATTCAGAGGGGCAATGACTGTTGCAGCTGCTTTTAAGGTCAGAGCACTCAGCACACTTTGGCAGCTGAAGTGGCTGTTTCAGGCTCCAATCATGGTCCTCAAACACAAACTTACACCAAGCACTTGCACTTAGAAGGGAAGTTCTGCTGTTTGAATTAGGTGATGGATCAAGAACCGAGCTTTTCAGCGAGCACAGCTCAGTGCGAGTCGTTCTATTCACCAGCTTAACTGGTTCAAGAAGATAAGGAGCTATGGCACTAGCTACTACGTTCTGTATCTGCTTTGTACTGAAAGTCTAGTATAGGCTGATCAGTTTATAGACAGCTCAGATAACCTTTGGCTATAGCGAAAGTACCACTTACACCTGTTTAAATTCCCCTCAGAATCCTATATATTTGTTTATATAGCTCCAAGGTAACCTGTAATTAGCAGAAACCCTATCAGCACAGCCACCAGCACGCTAACGTGGATTTAAAGAGAGTTCCTAGAAAAGTCACGGCCCTCACATAGTTAACTCCTCAAGATATCCACGCTCTTGTAAACAGAAGAAAGCCACAAGCAACCCCACCAAACATAGGCATGGAAACTGTTGTATCTCTGAGGTCTGGGAGCAAAATCAGGAAATACAATAAAGGAAGTTCAGCAACTGAACCTGTCTGAACCTGCTCTTAAAGGCAGTGATTAGACGTGAACATTGATAGAGCCAAACTTTTCTGAACTTCAACTGGCATGAAAAATATGAAATTTTCACTTATTTTTGACAACTGCTTAACTGAAAATTGTGTTTTTCCCAGGATACAAGAATGGAAGTATTGTGTCATACACTACTATGAGTAAAAGAAATCGATGTGTCAGTATTTAATTCTTCTGATTACTCGAGTTCTGAACAATTTCAAGAATCCACGATAATTGCACTTCATTGTCCCTGACAGCTTATTTATGATACATTTTTCTTGTTGGGGTTAAGAGAATAGAGCACAAAAATCAGCTGAACAACAAGCAAATGCCCTTGAATACACTGAAATTCCAAGAATTTAGGTGAGGTCAGTAAGCATTTTCTTACCAAGTAGTGGTGAAAACAGAAATCAGTTAATCCAGACCCCTCAAACGATCCCAGATACCAGAGGATACAGCTTCATAATTTGACCATAAAGGCAAGATGCAGACACTTGCAAAGGCAATGAGACTTAGTGAAAGAGCATTTTAGCACTCTGGGTGCAAAAACACCAAGGAAATACCCTGTAAAACACAACTGGTCTGTATCTGAAACACAGCGGGCTGAGTTTCAAATACTATCAGAATTCTTTAGAAAAAAAGGAGAATTATCTGGTCACCTAGAGAAAACAGAAACTACGAAACCCAAGCTTCTTTCCCAGCTGTGATAAATAAAACCACAAATAAAGAATATTGAAATAGTCTCTCAAATTATTTGGAAGAAGCTAGGCAACGCTATAAAGCAGCTGTTAGGTGCAGATCTCTTGATAGAGGTGTTACAAATATCTACCCAATAAAACAGATCAGTGCTTAAGAAGAGAACGGGCTATGGATTTGATCTTCTTTCCTCAGCATCCGCTGTGCTACTGGTTATCAAACGATCTTTCTTTGGGTTTTGGAGCCTTTGCAAATAGGTGCATCTTCTTTTTGCGGTCAAGCTACATCTGCTTGTATTCCGGACTACTGATGTTATCTTGATTCATCTGGTTTTAACAAATCAACGTACTAGACATGGAAGGACGCAGTGATGCTATCATTTCGTGTCGGTATAAGTATGGCAGATCCCTTTTATTTCCAGCTTTGATATTGATATCAAAGCAGGAATTCTTGTTACATAAGCAACACACTCACTCCAATTCAGTTTACACCTAGCTGTTAAAGCAGGGATGCTGGCTCAGAGCGTATCATACTTAAGGATCTTTAGAAGAAAACATGAAAAATAAAGAAATTAGACTTACTATTTTCTACATTACAAATAAATCGAGGAAAAAAGCAACAAAGCTATCAGTAAAAAAAGTTGCATCTCTAATGCTACATCTAAAATTTATGTTTAATCATAAACAGACCATGAAAAGAGAATAAGCAAGCCAGAAGAGCAACATACATAACTCTGAATATTTAGTGGTTTGATAATTCTTTGGGAAAGCATACCATTTCGCATTGCTACAAATTCAGAATAGCTTCTTAGAGCTAAGAGATATTCTGCTGCATGAGATATTTCAAGTATATTAAATACGGTTTTCTAAAATAGCTTCTCCAAGAATAAGAACCCAATAAATATATATAATAAACACAGAAGTCTCTAGCTCTTTAGAAGTTCTAAAACCACCAGCACATCCTTTGCTGTGTGCAGAAGTGTATATTTTATATGTATACACACACCCCACCTCCCCCATAAAGAAAATATTACGAAATTCAATGTGTTACAATCCAGAAAACTCCATAACTACTAATTGAGAATGCTTTGCTCTGTACATCTTCTAGAAGGCTGACCATTTCTACCTAGCTAATTATGTGTAATTATCCATAAGTACTTCCTTGTATCATTTTTTATATTCTAAAGAATTTATACAGGATATTTATGTCTCCCATGAAACAGAAGCAAAATTACTTACCTTTCTTCCTGCTAAAAGCACGATTCATGTTGAAAAATCTATCCCGTCAACAATGTTTCTGGGTTTGTTTTTTTCCCCCACTTTAACCTGCAGAGGGATACACATAAGAAAACAGAAAAGTCCACTATTACATTTGAAGTCAGCTGTTTATCTTCACATTAAAGACAAAGCAAATGATTTTAAGAATTCTGAAATAATTATGAGAAATAAAAGGTAGATGTGCTTTGCTGAGGAAGAAACTGCAGAATTTAGAAGATTTATGCTCAAATGCCCAATGACACTTCATACAGAAAAACATATCAAAACTTCCTGTGAAGCTCTTCGGAGTTTTCAGAGACACAGAGCAGCTGATATGACACATATACATGACGACAAATACTATACACAAATAGAACAGAAAGAAAGCTTTAAAATGCATGCTGATTGCAAGACTCCACAAAAAACGTTCAGTTCATATTTGCACTGCCCTGTTTTGTGTCATTTAGGCTGTCAGATTATTTCTAGCTATGCTTTCATCTTCACGTGGGTTTAACATAAAAAGACTCCTCTTTGCCCAGGGATTTAATACTGAAAAAAACTGCCTTCAACTGGTGCAACTACCTCCTTGCTCCCATTACATCAGACTGTACAGTAATTTCTGTATTTTCTTCACTTAGAAACACTGATACACTCTTAAACTCTTGATTCACAGTATTATTTTGGAATTTTTTTCTTTCATTTTTTTCGCTGCAAGATGTTGGTAAAATCCATCACATCCAACACTGTTCAAAACCCTCCCATTTTGCAGTATAGAGATTTTCCTTTTCCCACCCTATGCAAAGATATGCCCACCACTCCTTTCCATTCTGCTCAGATCTTCCAGCCAAAAGCTGCACCAGTGCCCTTTCTCTGCTCTCAAAGCAGTTCAGTCAAAGGAGGGGGGAAAAAATAAAAGTGGGGAGGGGAGTGTTTACAAGAAAAAAAAAAAAAAAATCAAAAAAGAAAAGCACTTGGTTTCAGATTATTTCTGAATTCCCAATTTCCACGTAGCCATTTGATATTTTTCAGATTCAAACATGCAGGCAATTACAGCTAAAAAAACACCTCCATTTTATTTTCAAACAATCACTGATGTGGCAGGGCTTCTTTTCCATACAACCCCGTAAGAGCAGGGGCATAATCCCTGCTCACCCACTCTACAGTGCAGTACGCTACACCTGCAACCAACCAACATTTGCTCTTTGAAGTCCATGTGCCGGATCGGTTCTGTTTTACACGTTTTACTGAGTATTTAAGAAGGGAGGATGCAATGAAATAAGGATATATATATACTTGCCACCTACTTTTGATACAAAGCCAAGAAACAACGCATTTGGTACGCTACAGAGTAGTTCTTAAGGGGAGCGCTGCAGAAGCCTTACGTACACATGGCCATTCCTGCCGGCCGCCTTCACTATCACCAGTGCTACACGGAGAGCTGTGGATAAACAGGGCCCAGCGAGACCAGAAAACATCTGTGAGGGGTCTGAAGCCCTAGAAATTACTTCAGCAGCGGCCCTGGAAAGGGCAGTAGCGTTACTGCGGTAATTCCAGTGAGTAACAGCTCACCCACGAGGGAGTTTCACCAGAAACTGCCAACACACAAGTAGTTCTCCTGGCAGAGAAGTCACAGAGCACGACTTTCAACAGTGTAAATGATGACATTCAATTCACATTAAATGAAGTACAAGCAGTGAAGAGAAGAACATTAGAATCTCAGCTCTTCAAGCAGCTGACAAATGTGTTTAGCTTAGAGGTTTACTTCCACAGGGAACATAGGCAGCCTACTATATACGCTTAGGATAGAAAAGCGATGGCAGAACTTTGTTCAGGACGCTCACCTTCTTCATGAACTATTTACAGCCAGTGAAGAAGGCAGTTTTGAGTAAAAAGAGTATGCTTTCCCTCGTACACACCTCTGGCAGTTGTCTTGCACAGCACTAGACCAGTCACTTCAGTTCTCCTCCGTGATGAGATCATAACATGTCCTTTTTCAGAACCCTTTTCTTTTTTTACTTGTGCATTCCGGTCCTTATCCAAGAGACTACCAAGTAACATATTTGAGATGGCTTACTGAGTAGTGGATCCCCTAAACAGAGACTATGCATGCACATCATGAGGCTGCTGGCTGGCCACATTTCTAGCCATCACCATTTAAGTACTTTGTTTAAAACACAGCGTAAGTACATGTTTTTTCCTCATGGACAAGGGTATTTACCATCAAAGTAATCTACAATAATGAAAGCCAAAATTTCTTGACTACTTAAAAGGACAGTATTTTGCAAAAACGTGTTCATAATTTCAATTCCAACAAAACATCAATAGAACAAAATACGGAAATGGCTTCGGCAACAACCAGTATTAAAACACTTCATCAGCGTTACTTCCACTTGCCACAGAAAATATTAAACAGGGAAAGAAACACCAGTAGCTACACGCAACTGCTTTTAAAAATCCTTCAAACTCTAATACGAGCAACTTCATCAACCTCTCAGATGCAGAAAAAGCAGATGGTTAGATTTTGCTATTTAAAAAAATCAATCCAAACACCACAAGGCTAATTTCAAATTTCTCAGTTGGGTTTGGGGCAAGAGGGTGATGTCAGACTATCACAAGCAGCACTCGTAAGTTTTTGATCAGGAGAAGAACAAAGTTACAGCTAGACTTTTTTGTGATATCTTTGCTTCCAATATTCCAACAGACAGGAAACTATTAGAAGCGAGCAAGCTGTTCTCTGATCACAAATGCTCGATGGGTCTTCTGGTAGAATATGACTTTGTTTCTGACAGTGCTCGACACACAAAGCCGCTGGAAGACAGTGAGCTGTAAAACAGCCTGTTAAAAGCTTGCAATGAAGGCAAAAGGAAGGTAAGTCAGAAAATCCCATTATGGTACAGGAAGCCCTGTGCAGAATGGGAAGTCCTTCCTACGACACCACTTGTTTAGAAAGCGTAAAGCAGTTGTAACCGTCAGAGGCATCAGCGAATCGGAATGTGGACCAAAACATTTCATTACTCATCACTTAGGAAGACACACCTACAGAAAGAATGTGGCTCCACCTTACTCCTAGGGGTTTTCTTCAGCTTTGTCCAGAAACCAAACCCTACTAGGAAATACAAACCTGCATGTGACTTCACAAAATGGTTAACTGACAACATATGAAGAATTCTGACAGGGATAAACCAGGGAAATCTGGAGTTCTATCAGGTTATTTCTTTTGGGGCAGAGAGAAAAGAGAGACAGAAAGAAAAGACAGAAAAGGCTTAGAAAATTATTTTATTAAACTAACAGTATTAAAAATATAAATAACAGCCAAACATCCTGGGCAGGGGGAACACACGGCATCGTCAGCCTGAGCAGTGATGTGGGCACGTGGCACGGGGAGTATTTAAGCTGCCGTATCAGACTGAAACAGTAACAGGGGAAAGCAAACACCTTCACCTCCTTTTCCCTTTGCCTTCACCGTCATTAAGCCCTGACTTTTCATGGCCGGCTGCTTCTCACAGCAAGTAGCAAACTGTCAAATGGCAAGGGGTGCAACGACACCAGTGGATTTGGCGACCATGGTGTTTGCAGGCATGTGGACTGGTGAGTGGAAGAGTGATAAGGTTTGAAGCTGAAATCATCACCTCCGCAACTACATTTTAACACGAACCATCGTGTTGTTTGCTGTCTTCTCTGCTTTATGCAGCGAAGGAAGCCGAACAAAGCAAGCGAGTGGCAGCCTTCCAGCACCAGCAACCGCCGTCCGCCCTGGCTGCTGACACAACACCCAAGCTTCCACACAGGCATCTCGAAATGCCTGCGGGCTCCTTCGGCAACGCTGTGTTTTGATATGTTTCCTAAATTTAGAGCTGTCACCAACATGCCAAGAAAGGGGGTACTTAGGAAAGGGATGAAACAAAACCACCAGTGTAACTGGTCTCATTTGTCCCTTATTTCCTCTTAAAAATCAGGTATTCCTCAGGAGTTAGTTGGGATTCCCCCTCCAGCCAGTCCCTTCCAGCGGCAAAGGCTATAACAATTACCTGGACTGAACCTTTTTATTTTTGTACCTCTTCTTCATTCCACAAATAATTCTTCCAACAAAACTGCCCTAAAACCCCCAACCTGCACCCCATTCACTGTCTTTCACTGGGGAAAAAGAAAAAAAAACAAAAAAGAAAGTCCAATCTGTGCCTTCCCTCTCAAACACACACACAGTTTCCATACACAGCCAAATTTAGCTTCAGAAGACATGAAGACTCAGACCCCAGCCTTTCACGCATACTGGATAACACTTCTTGCAGAATGAAGCACAAAATGTCTTCAGCTCTGTTTTCAAAACGGCCACAGCACACAGGAATGTGTGATTCATTGACTTGCAATGAAACCTAGGCTTATAAAGTGACTTCTGAAGGTCAGATGAGAAACACTGGAATACAGCAACAGCTTTAAAATTCTTTTTCTGAGTTGGACCAAAACACCACGAAAATATTGTCCTGTGACATAACAAAGGAAAAAATTACAATAATAAAGACTACATTAAGTGATACACAAGACCAAATAAACATCATCATATCATGAACCCTTTCCTTTTGTATGACAAGTAACCAAAACACTAACTTGCCACAACCCTTCCTCCTCTGAAACAGTCAAGTCATAAGAAAAAGATGTTGACACGTCAACGAACAAAATTCAGTGCAGGCCCAAACCTGTGGTCACGTATAGCCCTTCTTACTGTTCGGGAAGCAAGCAGTTCCACTCACCATTATGAAATCATTTGTGTCCTTTAAGTTTCTAAGTGATAACAGAACAGTCTACAGGACCATAAGCAACAGCAGCATTTAAATGACAGCACTATAAAAACTTGCAGGAAAAAAAACTCTTCAAGCTCCCCAAAACCAGCACAGCTCTATGGACTTCACCAAAATAGAACAACTTTCTGTCAGCTGAAGTTCTTAGCCTGTGCTTGGGCTTTATAATTGCACAGAAGCACACACGGAGTATAAGGGAAACCATTCAGTCACTTGGAAAGCTTTACTTTTAAGGGTTTATTAATCTCCGCATTTTCAAAAACATTAATTAGCCAGAACC